AGAAATCCCTTAAATTCTGATGTAAAATATGATGCCAAAAGACTGCAGATCTCCCATTTAGATGACCGGTCATATGACCGGCAGATGTCTCGTAGGATTCCCAGAGAGTTTTGCTTTACATAGAAATTTGTGCTCTTTTATTTTCATTTTGACTCACTTCAGTGTTGGTTCCTTTAATTCAGGTTGGCATTCGGTCTTTTGGAATTTAAATAAGCTCTCAGCAACATATATACATNACCAGGGTAAAAACGGCTAATTTTTTTCTGCGAAACGGCTAACAAATCGGCTGCCGGCTAAATCGAAATTTCTCCGGCTGTTTGCTATCGCAACCGGCTAAATCTAGCCGGAAAACGACTAAAATGGCAACACTGGTTGTCACACAAAGCGGAGGGACCTACAGTTTTACGCCGACTCCGAACGGTGATAGTATTTTTATGAGAAGCTGTTTTTCATGACAGAAATGCACTCGGAGGTTTGCCATTGCCTGCCGAGGGACGACCGCTGTTAAGAAAAAATCTTTTTTCTATATTTTTTGCGATGTTGCTTTGACCAGGGTAAAAACGGCTAATTTTTTTCTGCGAAACGGCTAACAAATCGGCTGCCGGCTAAATCGAAATTTCTCCGGCTGTTTGCTATCGCAACCGGCTAAATCTAGCCGGAAAACGACTAAAATGGCAACACTGGTTGTCACACAAAGCGGAGGGACCTACAGTTTTACGCCGACTCCGAACGGTGATAGTATTTTTATGAGAAGCTGTTTTTCATGACAGAAATGCACTCGGAGGTTTGCCATTGCCTGCCGAGGGACGACCGCTGTTAAGAAAAAATCTTCTTTCTATATTTTTTGCGATGTTGCTTTGACCGGGGTTTGAACCCAGGTGCTGATGAGTGAAAGCGCGCACTGCTTACCACTACAACACAGCGGTTTTATTCTAATTAAACATGTGTGTTATAAAGTTTCAAATCTAATTTATTTTTTAATGCAGCATTATAGACAAATATCTGAAATCCAAAAGAAGATACCTAAATGAGACATCTAACTGCGCTCGGTTGGGTAGAACTAAATGCAAACATCTATGCGCATCACCTTAATATTGTTATAACTTTTGAACGACCTAATATTTAAATCTGAAAATTTCCCAAAAACTATTTCAGATATTTTTCTATAATGGAGCATTAAAAAAGAAATTAGATTTGAAACTTTATAACACACTTTT